TAGGCTGAAGAATGTAAATTATATTTATGTAATACAGCATAGATGACACACCTAATAGAATGTCGACAAGACTTTCCTTGACCCTTTTCAGTATAATGTATTATATTATCTTCATCACTTTCAATTAAAATTTTATTTGCTCCATCAGTCAGCTCTTCCATAAAGTGGGAACAAGAAGCAATTTTTTTTATTCTTGGCCGTTTTAAAATAAAATCCTTAAGTTCAGTTTGAATACTACCTGCTATTATTTCTGGTTTGAATTTTTGGATTTTTTTTACTTAAAAAATTAGGTATTATTGAAATATTGTGGATGTAAGTATGATGTATCTTCATACAACTTGCTATGAGTATCAAATTGTTTTTGCAAACTTCCGATTATTTGATCATAAATCACATTGTAAACATTTATTTCAAATTTTAATTTTGGATCGGTTTGAGGTTGGTCATGCATATTTTCTCCAGACATTTTTATTTTTTTTTTAGATTCTTTTAGCTGTAAATGTAGTTATAACTTCCAATTCCAAATATATACACATACAGTTTACATATATCTATATTTACACATACAATTTACTTAAATGTAGTTAACATTAAATTAAAATTTAAGGGGGCTAGAGCTTGATATGTTTTAAGGAGTAGTACTTAGGCATTTTATATAGCATTTCTATTTGAGCTGTGTTACACTTACTTAAGAGGACGCTATACCCGCATGTGTTGTCTCCGTCTTACACACATACGACATAGACAAAACGCGTTTAGGCAGTCTGAGTATAACTCGCTCAATTTTGGTTCTAGAGTAAAAATACCTATTATGAAATTGAATTGTGATAATATTTCTAAGGGCAAGACGCTGCGGTTTTTTTAAAAAATTTAATTTTTTAAAAGTCAAAGGTATTTTAAAAATGGTGAAATTTTTTCTATTTCTAAACGATATAATGAACGTTATATTGGGTATAATGGAAAAACCGCAGCGTCTTGCCCTTAGAAATATTATCACAATTCAATTTCATAATAGGCATTTTTACTCTAGAACCAAAATTGAGTGAGTTATACTCAGACTGCCTAAACGCGTTTTGTCTATGTCGTACGTGTGTAAGACGGAGACAACACATGCGGGTGTAGCGTCCTCTTAAGAATTGATTGTCCAATAGAGTAATATATACAGCTTACGCATTTATTGTTATTAGTTATTACTTATTATTGTTATAAGCCATCAATTTGAATTTAAATTATATTATATTAATAGGATCATCAATTATCATTCTATATTATACATTTTTACCACCATATTTAGAAAGGTTAGACTATTTTTGCCCGAAAACAATAATGGCCAATTTTTTGGCTACCAGCCCAATTTTTACGTGACCCACAGAGTTTTTCTCGGTAGCTCGCCGGTGAGTAATAATAAGTATTATGATTTATGAATATAATTTGTGACATCGATGTTTTCATACGGGCGACTAATGTTACCTCTATATTTATATTTATAATTAACTTATATTAATACAATACAATAGTTTTTATCTTTAAACATAAATAAAAAGTTCTTTGTAAATATATCTTATTTTTTTTCTGATAATATTATTTTTCTATATTTTATTATTATAAACCGAAAATACGTAAAAAACAAAATATTTTGCTGGTTAATATTCAAAACAAACGTAATTGGGAAAATAAAGAAAAATATGAGTTGACTTAAGTTAATGTAGAGGCAAATGAGTTAAGTTAAAATTAAGTTAATTAAAACACCGAACTATTAAATTAAGTTAATAAGTTAAAATTAACTCAACTTCTAACTTATTAACGCCTAGCATTGATTTTTGGTAGCTGATTTCCAATTAGATCTAGTTGGCATTTTGAAGAGTCAAAAGTAAAAACTTTTCTGTACTTACTACAACTCTTAATAATCAAAAAATTCAACAAAACAAATAAAGGAAAACGGGAATTTTCAAACAAAACTTGTATTATTTTTTTTTTTTGTAACTCAAATACGAATAACCTAAGTTGACTCTTCAACCTTTGCCCCTTGTGATCTAATTTTTAAGGTCATAGAAATGTAGTTAGATAGTAAAGTTACCTAGCAAAACCAAATAGGTACTTAAGTACCTTTTATATCAAATAAAATATAGGTACAAATTACACTTCATTGAAAAAAAAATGTAGAATATACTGATATTCAATGAATATATTTAAATAATGTACTCTACATTTATAAATATAAATTTAAATTGTTTTGGTTTTTTCAAAATAAGATGTATAATACATTTTTACATTACATACATTTACCTAGATACATTTTTGTCATCATTGAGTACCCAGGAATAATCAATTTAATTTGATGTTTCGTGTAAGTTTAGTTTAATTTGATAGTAACTTACGTTCTGTAATAGTGCTACCCACTTATAATCAACATATTTTGTATGGGCTTTTCAAATTTCAAAGATTACAACCTTACTCCTGTACTGTTGTCCCATATCACGTAAACATTATAATTATTATGTTTTAGTACTTGACAGTGTCCTTATAACTCATATTATTAATTGATTATCATAATTCATTTTGATTTAAGGCTAATAAAATTTTCTTATAAAAAAAATAAATATTTAAACTATTGTTTATTTTATTTTAACTTTCAATGTTTCATGTACACTTTTGGTGGGAATTTATACCAAAAACATATCATTTATAATTATGTTATTTATTTATGTATTGTTTTTAATTAAATCTAAATTATTTATATTTAAGTTGTTATTGAATAACTGCAAGTTCAAATAAAAAATAGTTTTTTATTTTATCTTCCTTTTTTTAATTATACATTTATTACAATATAACAAATATATTTTTGATTTATGCCACTAGTGTACAATGCAAATATGTAATTTTTCAAATTACAAAAATACACTTTTAAAACTGCAATATATACATAGACATGCAAACAGTTTTAAATGCAATTAAAATTTACACTTTCAAAAGGAACATGGGATAAAAAGTTTTAAATGTGGCAAGGTGTGCATTATATGTAAATACTCTAACCATTTTAATATTAAAACAATTAAAAACCATTTAACTTTGTATGACTACACAATAATATTATTGAGACAATATGATATTCAAAATAAATTAAATGTTATCTTTATTATATAAAGTTTGATACATAATAATAATATTGTAAGTAACAAGTAATTTATAATTGATGTGCATGTTGTAGAAACTGTCTACATTATTATCTACACTATACAATAGATTTGCTTATAGTTGACATAGTATTTTATCTGACTTATAGTTAACTAGTAAATTATATTGTATACAAAATAAATTTATGCACTTATCAATATATAGTTAAAATATATATATTTGAATAATACGATATAATTTTCTTAGAGAAGAAACATTATATATAATATCTAACTTTAAAAGCTATTAGAGAGAGAAAATTGTCGAAGAAGAGATTTCGGCTGTAATTAATAGCTCTTTCATATCATTTAACAGGAACTTATAAACATTAATAGTAATACAATATGATTTAATAATAAGCAATAATTAATTAAAAAAAATTAATGTAATAGAAATACTGTAAGGAGACAATACACAATATAAGAAAATAAAACGCATTGTTAATACTGCGCGAGTAATTTGGTATTTTTTAAGTACTAAATTTACATAGTTGAGCAACTAGTAGTATTGCAAAAATAAAAAAAACATACAATTACATAATAAGATAATAAGATTAAAACCTAGTTTAAAACTAAGGAGACAGGACATTATGTGGGGAAATGTTTGGGAATGTTTGTATTCCTATTATTTATTAGATGGCACAAAACAATAACTTACATGCAAATAAAAAAAAATACATTCCATTTATACTATTTATGGACGGTGAAGACATTATAAGGGAAATACAATTTTTTTGAAAACTAAGTTGAGAAAGAAAAAAAAAGAATTGGATAATCTTTTAAAAAAATAAATAAAGTATTTAAACTTTGTAGACTATAATAATAAATTGATATGCAGGAAAGATAATTTAAATTACAGTTTTCATTTAATACTACCTATTTATGGATAATTATAACAAGAATAAACATGACAAAAAGTATAAAAGAATGATAAACATTAATAATAAATTATATGTGTTGTATAGAGTGGGCCATGGTGTTTTTCTATTAGATATTGGAAAAAAAGACTATAATGAGCCTCTTGTATAAATTTTTCATATATATATATATATTGTTGATTTAAGGCACTCGTTAGTGGTAAGTGATTTATTTAACATCTTATATAATATCATGAACCTACATAACCTACATCCAATTATTACATCACATCATATCACAGAAAAATGTAATTTAAAAAATAAAAATGTATCTGAACAATTACAAAATATTTAACAAACAAGATTTAATAATCTGTATTTAGTATATAATAAAATAATGGTTTGATAAATGTCATTGCTCTTTTTTCTAAATTTGATAGGCGAAACTTTGTTCAAATGATAACCCAGTTAAGAATTTATATAAAATACACAAAATATTTGTGAAGTTAACAATCCCATAAAAGTTGCATTAATAACTTAAATTTGACGGTTGGGTTAAGATTTGTCAAAAATTTAGCAAAGTATGTTTAAAATAATATAAACAACGGTAGCATAAAAAAAACATGATCAATTAAATTATGACTGATGTGATTAAAATATTTACAAATGTATGTAAATATATAAATATAAATATAAAAAATGAGAAAACATACAGTGGTTATTTAAGAAAATAAAAAACAACTTTTACGGCTACAATAAGTTGGTAAAATGTATTAAAGTAAAGGAATTAAATTAAACTATGTGTGATGGTGTAAACTGTAAATAATTAAAATAACCATGAGAAAACACTTTATAGAGGGGGGAAATATTGCAACATGGTCAGCGTGTTAAAATAAAAACAAAACGTAGTTTAGGGTGAGATTAATAATAATTTTTATCAAATAATATTGTTCCTACGAGGAATATGGTATTAAATGTTAGGACTTTGTATTATGTGTTTGTTATCCCGAATGGTGACTTGGGTTATGTATGGTCCTTGTTGCGGCGAAGACCTTTGCTGTTGCTGTTGATGGTTGTGATTATGGTACATACCACCAGCATAATTGTTGTTGGTTGTCGGCCCTCTGTGTTGTAGCTGCTGCTGCTGTTGCATACTGTTGTGTCCTTGAGCATCACTGCTTCCGTAGTTGTACAGCGCATAGTTTGGTGACTTGGTCGCAGGAACAGGATAATGATGCCGAGACAATGATTGTTGTTTTTGACTACGACCAGCACCATTTTTGTTGTTGTTTGTTGCCGCCACTGCCGCAGTTTGAGTAACACTGCCTACTAAACAGGGTAAGAGCGTGTGTGTGTAGGTGTGTGTGAGTGACGGGCCGGCGGCTATACATAAGTACGGAGGTTGGTGGGAGAGGGGGACAACTCACCTTGTCTAGTCAACGAATTAGAATTGTTGTCCACCAGACGTGATGGGCCGCCGGTCGTGTACGGTAGAGATCTCATCACGCTTTCATATTCGTAATAATTAGAACTAGGTCGTGCAACAGATTCCTTAGGGTCACGTCTTTGAGAATGATAGTGCAACTGCCTTCGGCTAGAGAAAAAAGAACATAACCAATTAATAAAATCATTTTAAACAGTCATCAATAAATGTTCAAGTGCCTTAAGCCCTAAACATAAGACAATTAAACAAACAAAAAATATAAATTAAGACATCACAATTTGTAGATTTTAATGTCAAGAAATTGTTTTGTCAATAGGTCCAACAATTATTAAAAATAAACTCAATATGAATAATGTAAAAATATGGAACATTAAAAAATTATTAAAAATTACTTTAACACGTTAAGTGCCATGCGCCCGCCGGAGGTTACACCTTTATGCATCATCTGTATGCCAAGTATATTTTTCAGTGTCATTCCAAATTTGTATATTATACTATTTCTTTGAAATAAGTTTAAAACTATATTTATTACATTAAAAAAATTGTAATGATTCACACTACGCCAAGGCGCTTTTTTGGTGCATTATTGTAGCACCACAAAAAAGTTAATAATATAAAACCATATTCATTTACGGCAACCGGCGGTCGCAAAAGCATAAAATTTAAGATTTACAAATGACCGCCGGCGGCCGCATGGAACTTAACGTGTTCTGGATAAAATGTATTAAAAAAAAAAAACGTGAGACACTTATTTGGGTTGAATACAACTCTTTTTTTTTTCTGACCGTATGTGTCGTCAATTTCAAGATTTTTCCTAGTGTAGCAAGTATATAATGTAATAAAATTACCAACCTAGTTGATACATTTTTACTTAATCAAATTTTGTATGCGCTATAGTAGTTACATTAGAATTTGTCTTTATAAATAAAGTTGTTTGAAATTTGTAATTATCACTGAATTATGAACATCTCAAGAAAGCCTATCTAAAATAATCTGTAAAAAATATATTTAAATCTTAATGTCAAACTGTGAAGATGGATGCACATAAGAATTTACTAAAATGAGAATATTTACTACAAGGACCGGCAAAAATATATATATCATCATTGATTTTCAATTCAGTGAAGAAAATATCAAGAAAAGATAGAAAAAGGCTTTTTTTAATTTTTATACTAATTAAAGTAATAAATACAAATTCTGATAATTTTATAACATAAACTTAGCACCACATGTAAAGAAAGAAAGTAGAAAAGTACTTATAAGTATAATCACACATTGTAATAATAGGCACAGATAAAAATCATAACTAAATGAGTAATGGCATATACAATTCATAACAATTTAATTTAATTTAATTCATAACAATTTAAGTTCATTACTATAATCGAGTACATTTTAATTTATGAAATACAGTCAACTCGCGATATAACGAATAAAACTACCGGTCCCTTGAAAATATTGCGGTATAATATAATTTTGATGTAACAAACTTTCGATATAACAAATTTTTTTCTCGGTCCCTTGAAATTCATTATATCGGGAGTTGACTGTATACCATTAATCTTAGAATGTCAATTGTAATATAATTTTTTTTTTCCAAGAACAATAAATATTGTACGTTGGACCATTCAAGATAACAGCATAAAAGATAATATAATGTTTGACAAGTGCAGTTCAATTCATCAGTGGCTACAGATGAGTGCCAAGACTATGTAAAATGATGCTTGAGTAACTAATATTTTTATATGCGTCTTGAATGTTCCAGTGTATGTTGTTGTTATTCTTATTAAATTATGTTTGAATCAGGTATCTGTCATAACAGTAAAGACAGAGCAGGACATTTTTAAAATTTTGTGTACTTTTTAAGTGTTACATAATATTATGCATTGATACTTGTATGCTTTTTAACTATTGAAATTGAATACATTAATTGTAATGATCACATGAAAACCTAGGTTATTTTTGGCTAGAACAATTACCTACCTTTCATCATCGGTGTCATAATAGCAAGACACGGGTTTTTTTGTTTTGCCGTGATGTCGAAGCTTAACGCCGCGTATTTCATGCATCAAACTACAATCAAAAGTGCAAAGCATGCATAACATGGAAGAAAAAAATATAAATTAACACCTTGTCCGACACCACAATCAATGATTAATGATGATAAATCTTAGTTTGTGGTGTCTGACACACATCACCAATAGTTTTAAAAATGATTGACATAATGAGAAAGATGCTCCAGAAGGACTTTTCCCAAACCTCAGTATATCCTTATAATTACAATCAAGTGAACTTATCAACCAACAAAAGTGAAACATGCAAATATGCAATATGTATGTATATCATACTGCGTAGTTATTAAGATCAAATATTTGTATGTACATTGTAAAGTTATATTTAACACCATGCATAAGATTTTCGTTCAAATCTTGTATAGATGTTCAGAATTTTGAAAAAAAAAATTAATTTATAAACACTCATTGATTACTAACATGCAAAACAAATAAACAAAATTATCAGCAAAAAATAAAATTCACATTATGCAATTAGTGAAATAATAACAAACCTAAGATTCTGCTGTATTTCTTGGAAATTGACGTAATGGTTAAATCTAGAAGAATCAATTATACCTACACGACTACCAGGTCGATTTATTGCATTTTGAGTATTACCGATGGGCTGAAAAGAATAAAATAGAATTAAAATAAAATTAATATTGCATAACAGAAGTACCATAGATTATAAATTATAGTACATACCTGTCGAGCATCAGATTCGTAATGATTTTCTTCCCTCTCATCAGGAATAAACTTTCCACTGCGTTCCATGTGTCTTCTTTGATGTTCAGCTCGAAGTTGTTGGATACGATCCATACGAGATTGTTCAGGATTAGACGGTTTTGCAGGCACATTTGTATAATTGGCTGTACCATCATCTATAGCTATTTCTCTACAATGATTTTGTTCTTGCTATAATGTAAAAGTAGGTAAAATTAAGTTACTTGCGTACAATAATAGTTAAAAGTTATCATGCAAAATTATGAATTTGAATTATAATATACACACTAAAAATTTCTTTTTATTATTATTAGGGTTGGGATTTTGTTACAATGGTTTTTGTATTTTATAGGCATAGCTTTGTAAGTGGAAATTGGGTTAGGGGATTCTGAATTAAACATTTTTAAGACATTTTTAGTATTTGAAAGGTATTAAAATCTCAGCCTAGATTGTTACTAATTATTTTTCTCATTTAATTTAAGTAAATAATTTACATAAAAATAATTTTAATTAGAGATGACACATTACATTTTAAGTTATCTAAGTTTATGATATTTTTTTCAATAAGTAACAAATTAATAATTAATACCTATCAGTAATAATAATAGTATAAAAAAGTAAATTTTAAAAGATTTTATCTTACTGAAGTTTTATAAATTTACTAAGTGGAAATCGTTATGGCTTAGTGGAAATCGTGCAACTTTTAGTCACATTGGTTAAGTTCATTAGCGAAACTCCAACGATGGCGTGTTTCCTTTGCTGGTATGGAGGGAATGAACTTAATCAATGTAAACTAAAAACACACCCATGTGAAACGAACGGGCTTAATGTGTTTAAAAAAATAAAATAACTGTAATATTAATGTTTATAATATAATTCATCACTTATATACTTTATTATTTTATATAATTCTACATGACATGTCATGTTTAAACTTATTGAAAACAATACCATTTCTGCCTGTCGCTGAATTAGTCGTTGGTATTGTTCTTGTATTCTAAGTTGTTCATCACGAGCATTTCTTCTGGCTATTTCTCGCTCACGGTCAGCAGAATTATCTTCTTCAGAGCTTAAAGTACCATTTAAATCTGGTGCTCGTCGAGGTTTACTACCAAATCTAAAATATGAAAATTAATAAAAAAAAATTATTATTACATTACAATAATAACTAACCTAAACATGGAACCAATTCCTTTAAGTAGTCCTGGTTTTTTCTTGTTAGCAACGACCGGCGGTGTATTTGGTACTTTGTAATTTGATGGAGAATGAAGTGAAGACTGCCTACGACCAATTAGATGATCATCACTCTCCTTTCCATCTACAATATATAATTATATAACAAACATGAATAAATTACATTTAAATTCAATATTTTTAAAATTAGGAAATTATGTTTATTTATTGAATTTCACAAATTAAGTTGAAAATACTTTTCAACTATTCATGTTATTATATAACATAAAAAGAAAAAAGTTTTAAAAAAATGCTTATTTAAATAAATGATAACAGCAAATTCTTATTATGTCAAATTATAATATCTAAAATGTTTGTAATCTCAAACTCAATTGCAATCCCCTGGAAATAATAATCATTACCCAATAGTTACCCTTGAGTTTTAACATCACAAGAATTTACCGTTAACCATACATTGTGGCTTACAGGAAACTTAGAAATACAAAACAAGAGAGCATTAAAGTTTGGATCATCACAAATTACCTCTTTTTTTATAAATATAAACAATATGGGATATAGTTATATCAAACATACAAATACCGTAATCAGTAATACAGTGAAACTTCCATATTATGAAGTCTCATGGGACATAACAAAAATTTGTATTATAGAGAATTTTGTTAAATAGAATTGAATACATTTGGTATAAATGGAAGTTTCACTGTATCACAACTAAATAAGTTATTGTAAAAGTGTAAAACAAAATATTTGGACACTTGAATATTTGATAAACATATACCTTTATCTTATCAGTATGAAAACAAGTGCTAATATTGCAGGTTGGCAACTATATTTAGTGAATTATTTAGAAAATTTATTGCATATTGAATCGAAAATTTAAAAAAAAATGCATAAAATAATATTTTGTCAAGTAGAAAAATTAAAACTAAATTTTATAGGCACTTCATAATAATTTATATAAAGATAAAATAAATAATCGATTACAACGTAAACTTAATAGCTCTCGCTGTGTCAGTCGGTTAATACTAAAATGTTTTAGTCATAAAAAACTGGAAACTAAAATATGACTTAACATACTTTTTTTTGCATATTTTCATGATTTTTACTACATATTTTCATAATTTTTACTGCATATTATATGGCATATTTCAATACTTTTTAGTGCATAAAAATAAGCGCTCTACTAATAGTTTAACGAATTTCCTACATTTATTACTCGCATACGAATCACTAACAATATGTAAAAACATATAAATCCGATCTTTAATTATAATATTTGTATATACACTATACAAACTTTAAATTGTATGATTTAACCTAACCTAGTCAGGTATCTTATGGAAATGCTCAAAAATGTATGTGATGATACAAATACCAAAATACTTTTCACTTAACATATAAAATATACATATTAATAAACCAACATGTTTCCAATCTTAGTTCATGTAAAGACAATGGGCCATCCTTATCAATTGCGGCTCTAAAACTTTCATCACATCCTCTACCACGCACTACTTTAACATTTCCCCGTTTTGATCCACCATCGGTCATTTGCACCTCTTGAACCATTGTTTGTAATGATTCCAGGCTGGAAGATTTTTTCAACCCAAGAGAAGGTCCAAGTTGCTGTTTTGATGGAAAACCATTACCTACATACAATAATTAATAATACAATATTACATAGACAACATTAATTTAAAATTTTTATTATACTAACGTATTTTGGTATCATCTCCACGCTCTTCACGCAATTTTTTATTTCTTTGATATGTATCAGTATTTTTGGCGTCTAACGTTGCATGTCGTTTCTCAGACATACTTTGCCGACCGAATGCATCTCTTGAAAATCCTGAGTTGGCATTATCCAATGATAATCTTTATTGAAACAAAAATGATATAATTATATTTATACAATATAATTTCATAATTACAACTTTTTTAATTTATGTTATAAAATTGTACATACTGGCTAGCATAAGTAACATCTGTGCTAGTTGAACCAGTTCTTGCTTGTGGCGATACGATTGGTGATGGCTTTTCTTCCTCTATTTTTTTCCGGCTAAACGAATAATGTACACAAAACATATTTAAGTTAAATTATGGGTATAATAAAAAAAAATTAATTTATAATCTTCTTACTATTCAAAACCAACTATATATTCAATTTAATAAATATTTTAATCCTGGATAACACACACAAAAATATTCAGGAGGATACACGCACACAACGGTCTTTTAGACAATTAGACTGTATTTTAATGGGCAGTGAACTTAGACCATTCATATAATATGGACATCGTATACAGTTTAGACTTATTTAGAAGGTACTGATTTATTAGAGGTAATATTTTGAATTTGTGAAAATTAATAAAAAAAAAAATTCTAAAAGCCTGTCTTTCAGACCAGTAAACGTGTATTATGGGAACCAATTTTCAGAACAGAAGTAGAATAATTATGTCTATAAAGTATAAACAAAAGATTGATTGTTGTAGTTTGGAAGAAATTTTCAATTTTTATTTACAAAACTTCCCCTCTTATAATTGAGCTATTATTTTTTCATCCATACAACAATACAGATGTGTTCAGTAAAAAGGTAACACAAAATATTTCAAATGCGTGACCTTGAATTTGTGGTAATTTGTTTGACATTTATATCATTGAAGACAATGTACAATAAATAAATTTAGAAGTTAAGTTGAAATGAATATTAAATATTAAAACTAAACTGTACATTTAAGACAACTATATAAAACACAAAACAAAAGATTTTATTTTTAAACACGTTTTACACTATCATGTTAAGTTCAATGCAGATTTAAGATTACATTAATTAAATAGTTATAAAAGCATTTTGTATATGAAATTAATATGGATGTAATTTAAATCCTAAATTGTTAATGGTGAATAGTACAAACCCTTACCTAACAGTATTATAAATTGGGGGGTCTTCTTCAATAATTAACATCTCTTCTGATGATGGGTTTACAGTAGGGCTATTTAACTTTTCTTCTTCTTTCAACATAATTGTTGTTTGATGTGTAGCCTAGAATTATTAGTTAATTTGTAATAAAGTTACATTTACAGTGAATATATTTTATATTTAAGTTTACCTTATAATAACTTTCATTGCGCAATGCATTATAACGATTTGAGTGTCCAGTTAACCTTTCCAAAACTGGATTGCGAATTGCAATTCCATCTAAACAAATTATAATACATTTTATTTATATTGAAACATAATAATTATGTGATAATTAATATATGAATATTTAACTATACAAATTTTAAGATAGTTAAATTTAGTTACCCGGAGAAGTAGCTGTAGGTAATGTATTCCGTTTTGAACTCTCTGATCCTTGTCTTTGATGCATAAAGATTACAGTGGTATCAGAGTTTTCACTTGTTCCAGAATTTTCTGCCGTATTTTGGGTACTACTATCACTGCTTTCAGCTCGGCTAAATGTTTCAGTGTTTGCTGCTTATGAAATTACATATAAATATGTAAAACTTCTGTTTAAAATATAAAAAATAATAAATTACGTACCCGATGAATCTGTAAGTAGACTTGACGAAGAGTCACGACTACGTCTTCTATCTGATGTTGGAGAACTATTACGTCGGCGGGCTACTATCAATGAAATAGCTCCAGGTACTGGCCCAGGATCCACATTCATCATAGTTCTACGTAATGTTTCCATGGCTGCTGCATTAGTTTGGCCAATCAATGACATACCATTTATGTATAATAGCTGGTCATTAGTACGTAATCTACCATCCCTAAAATGCATACCAATTTGTTTATCTTAGTATTATACACATATTTATATCAATAAATACCTTGAAGCAGCACCGCCGTGAATAACATTTTTGATAAATATACCTAAGTCTTGCGATAAGTCTTTATCATTAGATGAGTTATTACTAGATGATGTTTTACCTTTAACACTAATACCTAAAAAAAACAATTATATATTAGCATGTAAAAAATTATTAAAAAAGTATTTTACCTAAACCAGCTTTTTCTGAATCATGCACAGGAATGTCAAAGGTCAGTATTTCTTTATGTCTCCAAGGAAATGTTTGTGTTTCTTCTAAACTTTTAACGTATTCCTAATAAATGATTATGAATCAAATATTAATTTAATTTATACAAACAAAAATTATAATAACTTAAATATATAATTAATTTTTAAGTATTTATAGAACTATACCTGAACTGAATTACTGTTGGATTTTCCACTTGTTTCTATTAATTGATTTTCTGATGAAATCCCTACTTCTTGTTCATAATTTTCATCTAGATCCTGTAGAAATTTAACACCAATTGTCATTTAAACTATAAGCTTATAATTTCATCTCTCTTAGTTAACTTACTTGATTAGATTTCTGGCCTACTTGGCTAATTACTACATCTTCTTGTCTAGAAACAATAATTTTAACCTTTGCACCAGATGGAACTTTTCGCAATACAGCAACTGCTTCAGATTGAGTCTTGCCTGTCAATTCTGTACCATTAACTGCTAATAATCTATCACCTGGTCGTAATCGTCCATCTTCAACAGCAGCTCCCTAAAAAAAAAAAAAATGAAAGGAATTAGTTACAATTTTAGACTAACAATTTTTAAATATTACTTTTGGTAACACATTTTTTATGTAAATTGGACAATTTCCTCCAGCTGGATTATCTCTTGTTGTTATACTGAATCCAAGTCCATGAAGTCCTTTAGTAAGTTCTAATTCCATTTTCTTTCCAATTTTTCTTGTGTTGGCTACCATCAAGATATTGGAGGCTGTATGTGTTGCAGCTGATATTTTTTTGGTTGGTGAAATGGTGGCTATTTTAGTATTTGAGTTGACTATAACATTACATAAATTAGTACAAATTAATATTGAGAACAAATTTTAAAAATGTTAAAATTAAATACTTTTATCTTTATCGGATGATCCTGTAGAAACATTTTCTTTATTACTATAAGTTGCAGTGGTGTTTGAGGATGGTTTAGGAAACACTGGTGGCGGTGGCTGTTTTTTATTACCAACCACCGTATTTTGACTAGTTTGAATGTCCATATTATTTTTATGTTTTACCACTCTGAGTCTGAGCTCTGAAGAGTGTAGTGAATCTCGAAATATTTCTTGTATACTGTTAAGAACAAATATTACTAACATTTATCTTTAATATTTATTATCTTTTTAACTTACGCATTAAATGGTTGATCCAATAACGACCGGCCGTTGATTTCTACAATTCGATCATATACTTTCAATCTGCCATCACAGTGCACCCGACCTCCAGGTTCAATACCTTGAACAAGAAGACCCCGTTCTTTGCCTAGAGCATTGTAATCTGGGACAACATGAATGCCTAATGAGCCACCACCAGTGCTTAACACTATAAATTCAGTGCTAAAAAATGGAACGTTTTTAATTAATGTTTGTGTAAATTAAATTAATTAAATAATTTAATTGAATACTTTTGTGATTCTGGTAAGTGACTAGGATTTGTATTTGCTTGCCCCAACGGTTCTTTCCTTCTGTGGTCTCTTGGTAATGATAATGATAGGGCTCGATTATTTGCCAAATCAGCAGCCTCTGCCCACCGAAACCCACTAATAATGTATGGATAAAATAAAGTTAATTTGTTTCAAATTTAAATAATTATTAATAACAAAACAAAAATATTAAGTCAAACCTTGATGACTCTCCCAAGAATTGCATGGATAAACGATTCGAAGAATCACGATGAAATGATGGTGCAAGAAAATGATTGCTAATTGGTGGTTTATCTTTGTCACCTAATTCTAACTCATCTTCATCTTCTTCAGAACACCTCCATTTGTCAGATAAACCAAACCCATTGATTTTCATGTAATCATCCTTAAATGTAAATTAGATATATAATATAAATTATAAACCTTAAGTTAGAAAAATTAAAACATATTTAATATTATATTATATTAATTTTAAATTATATTAACCTTTAAATATTACATATTATTCCTAAAACACTATGTATAATATAAAATATTTATGTGAACTAGAATTAATGTAATGATTGTTGTCTGCGTTAATGCTATGGTACAAATATTACACTGGATATTAAATGCGTAGAACAGAATATATTATTTATTTATAATATATTATTGTTGAATATGTTTTAAAAATGTCATATTGTAGATAATATCGTTGATTATAAAAACTATTTATAATCAATGATACTATTATGTTTTATTACTAATATACTTCTACTACTTTGAAAATGTAAAAAAAATAAATATTTTGATTGATATAATTTATTAAATTAGTTGATATATATTAAAATTTTAATTACGGTTCTTAGTTTTTCTTTGGGGTCGTGAATCATAGGAGCTGCTGACCATCGTTTAGATTGACCTGATGCAGCAGGTCTAGTATTACTGTTTCTTTTGCCCAAATTGTTTGCTATAAATGTAAAAAAAAAAATTAGCAAATCTATAATTTAAATGATTTGTTACAGATTACACTTACGACATTCAAGTGGTAATTGATTAAGAGCTGGTTCACTACCTCTACGGACATGTAAAGCTGGGAAACCACAAGCAATTTGTTCATTAGTGACTTCAACGTCAGTTTGTAATCCATCTCGGCTCTAAAATGGTAAGTATTTAAAACAACAATATTACTATAATATCCTTAATTATTAATCATAATTTAAGTTCATAAAAACGAGGCACATAAAAATAAAAGATTTCTATAACAACTACTTATATGAAAATATAATATAATGTATACCAACTAGGTTATCAATTAATAATCTCTCTATTAAATAAAACGTCCCGTTTGAATTGTGTGCAATTCATAGCAAGCTGCCTTTGGCGGTGGTCACTGTTGCGACGCGCTTATGAACGCCAAACGGTCCCCGTAGGCGAGGTCGGATGAAATAAAACTTCATCATACTAAGCGTTACGCTACTATTTCGTCAAGTTTTTACTAGGGTTTCACAAATCTATTTGTACACATATTACACGGAAAATTCTAAATACATCACGGTCGTAGTATATCGTATATATGTACCTATACAAGGCCGCCAGTAGAAATATTTCTCAATGACGAGGAAGGGAGGGAGGGGGTAACAAAAAAATATTTCGTAAATCTTAAATCCATGATTTAAATAATTGAGTGTTTGTATAACGTATATTATCATCTAAACACGGCGGGAGGCGGCCCCATTGACTCCTCCCCCTACAGGCAGCCTTATGTACTTAACTGAGTTCATAGTTATACGAAGAGCAGAAGAGCTTGTAATAATACACACATACGTCTTATTGTATTAAGAGCGACCAACAGATGTGCGTTTTACTTCGACCGAATAGTCCTGGGAAAACGGGCTACATGTTTCTATCGGAATGCGGAAGCCATGAACATTCTCGTGTAGTGCATATAATAAGACACGACTATAATATACTTTGTGGATATAAATTAATAATTATAAGTAATATTCAGTTAACATTATTCACACCCGTGGACGGAACTCCGAAAAGGTTCGATCGAAAGTTGGTCGCAGAGAAAATGGCCTACGCGGACTTTTTAGACATTTGAAAGACGGGAAATATCGCGATTCCCGGTTACCCACCCGCGAGTTCCGTATACCATTATGGTAGACGACCGTTGACCATCACACGCAAACTCTGAGGGTGCGTCTATTTTCCTCCAAATATTATTTTGGACTAAAATTATATCCAGTTTCCTCCAAGTATTAAACTATTGAGCCAATAGGTTCAGCATATTTATCCTTTTTAGCTATTAGTTTTACTTGTATTAAACATATAATATGCAAATAGATACCTAACATATAATATTATAAAATAATTGTTTCAAAGACAATTTTTTTCTTTTTGTTGATGTAATATGACTTGAAAATATAATTATTATATTCTTATTGGAGGAAAACCGAAAGTGAAAAAAAACGATCAAGATTTATTTATTTTTATGTGTTGAGGAAAATGGATAATGGACTAAAAACTTTGCTGTGCCCCGAACTCAGTCCTTATACGTTTTAAAATTTAAAACATTACATTTATAATATACATGGTGTATGGTAATCACGGAAGGGTAATGGTGATCTCTAGGGCAGACGACTTGTAGGCTGTAGCATTTGCATATTTGTTTTGCACAGTCACAAAAATATCAGAGTACCTACGAAGTAAATACGTTTCATGCTTTCATGAAGCTAGTTTTTAAATTTTATTTTGCATATAAATACATATTTCGAGTAATTTTTGTTTTTATGGCATATTTCTTCTATTTTATACTTCTGGAGGTTTATTTTAACTTAATTAATAAATTTATCAATTTTTTACAACATTGAAATTTTCATTTTAATTAATACAAGTTGTATTATACAACTTAATTTTTGTCGAATAATAAGGTTTTTAACTGTCGGTAGGCGTACGTTTTTCCTAGAAACTGTTGAAGATAGAGGTGAGTCGATAAGATTAATTTTATTAATGGATAGATAATTGCGTTTACAATTATAATGTCATATTGCTGGCATTCAATTGTATTTGTAAAATGCATATTTTGGGTATTCAAATGCATATTTGGTGACTTTTTATGGCTACAAGTCCTCTGCCCAAGTGATTACAATATTTTCGGCCAGTAAGTATTGGGAAGCTGGGACGATATAATCGTCTGTCGGTAATTTTCTCAGCGTTCTATTTTCGATCAAATGGTTTTTACGTCACCGCCCACGCGTGCTTTTATATTATAAGTTATAACAAATACGATGTTTGAACGTGATGTATCGACGTATGATATACGTATCGTCAGATCGCCTAGTGCGACGATATTCTGACGAAACGATTCTTGAACGTATAATATACTTATTTACGAGGCTCATCACTTCTGAATTCCGAAAAATGTAGACGTAAAATGTACATGTTTTAAATTGTATAGTTAGGTATAGTATACATTATATTCACAAGTGTGGAGGACGAAGGAGGCTATATCCATACGATTGCTATTTAGAATTAATTTTTTTCGTTAGGTACCTGCTATGTGTTACTTATTTTATTAGGTACTAAAATGTGTGCGTTTAAAGTGAAGTAGATTCCAAGTGAAATCTTGGTAAATTAGTCACGGTATGCGCCATCCGACGATTGTTAGTAAAGCAAAATCTGACGTTTATTATTGTACATTATCATAGTATTATTCACGCGTAAGTTTTATATTCCTATATGTACTACGTATATGCTAGATCTGTAACAGTATTATATTGTAGCTGATGGAGGTATATAATCCGTCGTTACTAAAAATGTGTCGGTTTCTTTGTGGCATCGAGTCTATAAGTATTGTTTTCAATTAGTCTTAACATTGAAATTAGGTACAGTAATGTACATAATTGATTGATAATAATAAAATATTTAAAATGGTTGTCTAATTTTTATGGTGAAAAAAAATGCATATACTCCAATGTATTTAACTTAAAAAAACATTTTAGAATAAGCTGATAGTCAATATTATTATAAACTGGTTGGCTGAAATTTTTGTTCAGTGGCAGGTGGTACAAAATATAAACAGTTTCGTGAGTCATATCAAATATAAAGGTTTATACACGGCCATTTATGACTGTTACTTAGAATTATAAAAAATTAAAAGCACTGTATAACATATGGCTAAATTTGAACTATTTATGAAATTGAGTTATGAAGACTGACGACAGTAAGTTTCAAGTACTTCCTATCCTTGTTTTTATTCATCATCTTTTTAACATTTTATTTAGCATAATATACATATTTTACAACCCATTGTGTCTAATGGGTAAATTGCCCACACAATGCATATTATGTATTACCCTTGTCCTATAAATTAGTTAATGTATTACATTCCTGACTCATAAATATTATGAGGCACTAAAACTAGAATACAATATAATAATATATAATTATGTTTTATGTGTATTGATATCTTACGTGGAACATATCTGGACTAGATGTAACACTAGCTCCGTCACCACCACCGTGTTGGTGAGGACTATTGCTATCACCATCATCATAGAGTGCAACAATTTGTTCTCTATCATCCGCCACATCCCTGAGGCGATCATCAGGATCCAAGATACCACCATCACTCTGAGACTGCAAACTGTGGACGGTCACCCATGAATTTGAGCTCTAGAATATTAAATTATGGATGGTTATAATACATTTTATATTTAATTAAAAATAAAATATTGGTGATACACTGGCACATTGAACCATCTTATTTTAATATCCGAAACAAAAATGATGACGAATACAATTTAGACAAGTTTGTAGATAAAAAAACAATATTTATTATTTGTATTCATAATTTTTTAGACGGTGTACCTAATGATCTTCACTTCTTACGTTATGTTTAATACTTTTGGTCACTTATAGTATTTATAAAAATAAGAAAAACTGATAATTAATAATACTCTATCATAGTTTCACGTTTTGTATTGTTTTAAAATTAATAAAAAAAAATATTACACTCACTCCGTCATGTTAATATCTGAGTTAATTGTACTATATAATTTGTACACAGGTAGTTAAAAAACACATTAAGTTTCCTAAACTGTGAATAAAAGAATAATGGTAATTGGTAAGCACATTCTAATAGATTTATAATGAGGAATAACCTGTATTGTTACAAATATACAATGTTACTTAATATCATCATACCTTGATGTCTACAAATAGAAACTAAAACTAAAATTATAAAATGTGTATATTATTTAATACAACATATTTAATAAGTCGTGTTTTTAAAATAATTTTTTACAAGCAGTTATAACAATTGAACACAAATTATGCATTTTTAAAGGTAATTTTTAAGGTAATTTTTAAAGTACTTAACCCCTTTAATAAATAGGTTCCGGTTACATTGGTTAACGAAATAGGTAGTAACATTTAATTAAAAAGGTTCGATAAACATACAATTTATTTTTTTGATAACTAAAATTGTCACTGTAACTAGCTATAATGAATGCAGTTTTTACGATATAAATAGTAGTTACTACAATGTTTAAGACAGTTATAACTTATAACAAACGCATTTATGTTCTCACCATCCAAATTTTTATATATCCGATAAGAAAATCTACTACCTAATGAGTTTTTATTCCAAACGACGTCTAGACGAAAAAACAAGTATTTTATATATAGCTACCTACTTCGATGATATTTATATTTATATCACTAACTCACTACCTATTTTATGACGATGAACCTGTTTATTGTTTACTCATATTTTTCAACTGACATAATTATTATAATACCTTATCAGATTAAGCCCTGGGTTAGCTCAGGCAATATTATAGAGTACACTTGAAAATAGACAAACGAATAATCCGGATAATTATTATATATTGTGGAATACAGTTTTACATAATTATTAGTAACTTTTGATTTAATAACAGTAGCCATTTCATTTAACGTGATGTTATTCAAATACCACGCATTATTGTACGAGCAGTGAACACTGCAGTCTTATTGACATTTTTCATTTATGATAAAACGTCGTTTTTATTTTTCCTTACAATAATAATTGCTATAATTAATTAACTCGGTACACAAGCCATGATCGGATAATGGTTAAAAAGTAAACTTAAGCACCTAATTTATTATTTTGAAAAATCCGATTAGTTGACAGTGATTGATCTAGATTCTAGACGTTTAGTTCAGAACACTTCAATAACATATTTTACAAATAAATTTAAAATGGCATCATGATATTCACCTAAAATAACCTCAATAAAATGTATGATATTATATTGATAATTTTATTAAACAAAATTTTTTATTTATTTCACAGTTTTAAGTTGGTATATTATACGTCTTGATAATACATAGGTAGGTAATAAACATTACATATGATATAATATTATTTAATATTTAATAAAAGCCAATGAAATTGTTTAATAGGAATATTCATAATAATGTATAGAAACACATTATTTAAATGCTGACGTAGTAAATTATACGAGTTAATAAACTCCCGCATAATATTTATCAGTCATCATCATACACACAATGCGAAAACAATAATCATAATTATGTATAATATTATAGAGGTATGTTATAAAAAATATTTATACTTGAGATCTCTGCGAGTAGTATATCTCTGTATTGCCTACGTATGTATAATTTCATACTTCAATGGGAAATTTATGTTATCGAGGTTTATAATTTATTTGAACCTAAAAAATGCGTTTTTTTCTTTACATTGCAGTGGTTAAAAATCGTTGAATAAATAATGATAAGATTACTTATTTAACAGTTTAATTTGAAATACTTAAACGTACATTTACATTACCTATTGAAGTATAACAAGTTTAATTACTCCAGGCTTGAAACAAAAAATATTATTGTATTAGGAAATGTATGTAGGCATCGTAACTTATAAGTATATTGAATATTAATTAGTATAATAAGGTAGGTACTAGGTAGTGACCCTAGTAGGTACTATAGTAACCCTTCAATATCCTTAATACAGTACCCACTAAGAAAAAATTATTGATGAAATAACGAAAATAAAATAAATTATATTATAATATTGATATAATTCACAGCAAAAATCATTTATTTCTATGTTAAACGTATAAAAATTGTGTTCTTTTTAATTCTTACCTTGTAGGGTACTTTAACGAGTTTTAGATATGGGTAATAAGTAATAACTAATAAGGAATAATATGTAGGTACCTATAGAGAAAACGATTTTTTAATTTGATGCGTTATTGAATTCATAAAGGTAATACAAAATACAATAAGTACATTTCTATGCATGGTTATTAAAATTCAAAACGTTTTAAAATGTTTAGGTAGGTACCTAATAGTTTTTTTTCACTTAGACAATTTGCATAATTAATTTAATTTGGTTTTAAATAAAAACAATAAAAATGTAAATCATAAGAAAAATGAATTTTAATTCTGCTTCATAAAATAGATTCCACGCTCTCGTAATTGTATACCTTGAGAAGGTTTATAAAAAATAAATGGAAAGCGATTTAAAAAAATAAGTAGAATATTATAATTTTTGCAAGAAGGCAGGTTTAAACGGCATTATTTATTATGATGGTTGATCTTATCATCATTATTTATATATATTTTTAATAAATTAGTTTATTATTGGTTTAAAATGTATAGTTAAACAATTTAAATAATAAGAAATCATAGCCTGCTAGGGGTTAGTGACACGACGAGCGAAGTGTGACAATGGTCTCGACTCTCGGCCAATGTATATCATTTTACCTTTTGATAATTGTTGTATAATATATAGGTCATATAATATGAAAAACTATTTATTAATGGCTTCAATTAAGAATTAAAAATAAATTATATATAATATTATATAGGTAAGTAATAAGTATAGACGTATAATGTAGGTATATACATATTATTTGCAATAAATTCGTAATTGTAGGTATACCTCGCCGGGTTCGGTCGATGATACTTTATTGAGTTGTTGAGCTTTTTGAACTTGATAGGTTTTTCTGCGTCCAAATACTTTGGCCAACTTTCCAATGACAGATGCACTTCGTTTACCACAGTTGCAGTTTTGATGAGATGAACAGTTTTCCAACATGATAATAACATTATCGACGATATAAACAACGATTGTTAAAAACGAACTTCTACCACAGCAGAATCGCACACAAAAATCGGACCATACGCGTAAGTATGCATAGCAATTTAAAACATGCACTCTAAATACATAAAGTACAAATGAAATTATTATTATTTTTTTTTTTTTTTTGCTGCTTGAAACAGTTTTTTTTAACAGACAGGCAAGGACGTATATGAGCTTGAAACAAACAACTACAGTTTATACACGTACCTATCTATAATTTTTCCTATGAAAATAACTAAGTACTTATTAATTTGTTCACAATTACTTAACTATTTAGAAATTATCTGTTTATTGTAAATCCACATATATAGGTATACCTAAGTAATATTATACTGTAAACGTTATAATGTAGTAAGATCAATTTTAACGATTAAACTGATAATAAATTATATAACTAACTTTAATACAATAAATACGACCAGATAAAAGAGTTTAATTTTAACATTATTCGGAGATGTTATATTGGTCAACATATAGATGTAACGCAAATTGCGTTTTAAGAATAATCGGAATTGAATAATAATAATAATAATAATAATAATAATAATCGGGCGTGAATTTTTTACTAAAATGTCTGCAATTAATTATCTTGTATAAATTATGCAGGTACCTACAACATACAACATACAAATTATTAAAATATCATTTTGTACCAATAATGTCATATTCCAATCAAATATGTACCTAATATTATTTATTTATTTTAAACTGAGTAGGTTAAATTTCGATTATTAAAATTTTTATTCAAAACACGTATAGATCATTAAATAATATTAACAAGGTTTTTACATACATTTTGTTTATACAGCTATCTGTTATCAAATTAGGTACCTACCACACATGAATGCATATTTTTTTTTTATTTTTTTTGCATTATCATGTAGTAAGCCCTGATTGAACGTACCTATATTTTGCTAAGAAAAGTTAATTTACACAAATAACTTTAGGTATGTAATTTTTGTTGGAAAAGGAATAGTTAAAAAGTTTGTTTCATGTAGGTTTAAATTATTACCTTAGTTTATAGGTTTTAAATGATGATTTCTTATAGAATTTCTAAAAATGTCAACTACTACAAACATTTTAAATTTATTATAAATAGTATGCCTTAATTGTTTGTATCTCTGCAAATTATTAATTTGATTAAAAAAAGTAATCAAAAATACTGATAAACCTATATTGCATATTTGCATGCAATAACAATAATTTTGGTTATGCGTTTTTTTTTTTATAGACGTGAGGCTTTAAAACTTTTTTTTTAATTTTCGATAACATTTTAAGAGATTACAAACCTGCGGTGTGAAATGTATGAAATTAAATCAAATGCACACTTTTAACAAGGCATCCCACATCCATACAAATCCGTTAAAAACCACACGCTTTAACTAATTATTTTCCTAAAACTAGTAAATATATCATTATTTTTACATTTATCGTTTTTAACAGGTAAGATTGAATGTGTATATTTATATTCATCAGGTATAGGTATACCAAATAACTAAGATGAGAAAATTAATTTTAGAAA